TTTTTACCTGTTGAACAGTGCTATTTAAAGAAAGCTCTTACTCTCTGTCAGTGCTGACTGGTCTTTAGCTACTTCCTGTTTCCTGCTGTATCCTGTGTGTATCAGTTACTGACCCACCTTGCCATTGACCTGCTCTTGGCTCTTGTTTATGCTTCTGCTCATCGGTTTCTGATCCTGGCTTCCTCCTGACCACGTCCCTGTTTGATGTTTCGGTACCTCATCGCCTGCTCATTACTGACCCTGGCTATTACACTGACTACACTTCTGGTTCCAGTTTTGGCTCTACAGTCCTGCCGAGTGCCTGTCCTGGCTGTCATTACGTCAGCTCCGGTTGTCATGGTGTGCTCCAGCCTCACGCTTATCAGAAGTTCCGCCAAACCACGTACCCATATCTTGCAGTTCCAGTGGAGTGCTTCCTTTACTTCAGCTTGCCGTTGCGGCATCTCCTCTGTTCCTGATTGGATGCCCTATCTGATTTACCAAGGTTACATCACCAGCTGCAAGTTCCACAATCAATATCCACAGGCACTCGTGTTCCTCCTGTCCCTCAGGCACCATCTGTTTCACCTTCAGTGGGGCCTGGGTTGGAGATACAAGAGAGACTGACCTCGTCAATTCAGACTTCTATCAAGTACATGACACTAAAATTGAGGTATGCAAGCAAAATATTTTCTTTTTACTTTTCAGCACAGTACTTACCAAGCTACAGAATAGTGAAGGCCTGATCCATGCTCGAGTTTCCATAGTTGTAGGGGATGGAGTTCACTGTCCTCAGAAAAATGTTATTTCAGCTTCTTGGTGGGCTTTATGTTGTATCAAGTACATGACCTATTGAAATCTCTTGACCCTTTAAATTTATGTTCAGATACCTAGAAACAGGTCTATCCTATGCTAATATACACTTTATTTTATGATAGGCAACAGCAAGTTTTTTCATGACACATGCACAGTAATTTGGGAGGTGCTGAGAGATGTGGTCATGAAAAAGCCAAAAAAGGAAAAGTGGACCAACATTACCCATGTTTATTATAAAAAATTAATTGGTGGGAGCAACACATGGTGAACATATTTGCATCAGTAGCAAGTAGTAGCAAGTATTTTAATTATAAAAACGTATTTTTTTATTTGTGTTATAAGCAGTGGTAGATGCAAATTATTGCTTCACACACAGAAATTGGTTCATATGGCAGCATATTTGCATGCTCTTCATTTCGACAGATGGTGCATAACAATGAACTTGATCTGGCAAACAACTGTCCCCTGTTAGGAATCACTGGATCTGCACTGCCAAGTGTGTTTTGTGGGTGATGAAGCATTCACTCTCAGTGAGCAGTGAGCACTTCCTAAGCACCTATTCCAAATGCTCACTGTATGTAAAGAGTTGTATTTTCAATTATAACCTCACCAGGTCATGAAGGGTGGTGGAGTGTGCTTTTGGCATATTTGCTATAAGTAACATTTGTTGAACACTCTGATTATTTTAAACATGGTAAATGCTATTACTGTTGTTAAAGTAGCTTGCATTCTATATCATTTTGTTTGCTAATGTGATAGCTTCTTTTTTGAGGATACACAGTTTAGAGGGAGCACAATGGGAATGCCAAAAGCACACAATGGGAAGGAAATTGTGAGAGTAACAGTGGTGTTGCCATACAGGATCAGTTTGCTTCTTATTTTATGTCTCCAGATTCTGAGATCTCATGGCTGGATGCTTTTGAATGAAAAAGTTTTCTGTATATATTTTTCAAGACTGCACACTCTGTAAATCCCACCATTATCAGTTTGCAGAAGTATGGGTTTAATATATATATATATATACACTGCTCAAAAAAGTAAAGGAACACTTTTTTGATCAGAGTATAGCATCAAGTCAATTAAAGTCCTGGGATATTGTTCTAGTCAGTTAAGTAGCAGAGGGGGTTGTTAATCAGTTTCAGCTGCTTTGGTGTTAAGGAAATTAACAACAGGTGCGCTAGATGGCCAACAATGAGACAACCCCCCAAAAAGGAATGGTTTTACAGGTGGAGGCCACTGATATTTTTTTCCCCACTCATCTTTTCTGACTATTTTTCACTAATTTTGCATTCGACTAAGGTCAGTGTCACTACTAGTAGCATGAGGCAATACCTGGACTCTACAGAGGTTGCACAGGCAATCCAGCTCCTCCAGGATGGCACATCAATTTGTGCCATTATATGAAGGTTTGCTGTATCTCAAGAGCATGGAGGAGATTCCAGGAGACAGGCAGTTACTCTAGGAGAGCTGGACAGTTGCAGCAGAAGGTCCTTAACCCATCAGTAGGACCAGTATCTACGCCTTTGTTCAAGGAGGAAAAGGATGAGCACTGCCAGAGCCCTAAAGAATTACCTCCAGCAGGCCACTGGTGTGAATGTCTATGACCAAACAATGAGAAACAGACTTCATGAGGGTGGTCTGAGGGCCCGATGTCCTTTAGTGGGCCCTGTGCTCACTGCCTGGCACCATAGAGCTCAATTGGCATTTGCCATTGAACACCAAAATTGGCAGGTCCGCCACTGGCACCCTGTGCTTTTCACAGATGAGAGCAGGTTCACCCTGAGCACATGTGACAGAGGTGAAAGGGTCTGGAGAAGCCATGGAGAACAATTGCCTGTAACACCATTCAGCATGACCATTTTGGTGGTGGGTCAGTGATGGTCTGGGGAGGCATATCCATGGAAGGACGCACAGATCTATACAGGGTAAACAATGGCACCCTGACTGCCATTAGGTATCGGGATAAAATCCTTGGTCCTGGGTTCCTCCTGGTGCACAATAATGACCGGCCTCGTGGCAAGAGTATGCAGGCAGTTCCTGGATGATGAAGAAATTGATACCAAGCTCCCCCGCGCTTGCCAGACCTAAATCCCATAGAACACCTCTGGGATGTCATGTTTCAGTCCATCTGAAGCCACCAGGTTGCACTTCAGAGGAGCTCAGTGATGCCCTGGTTCAGTTCTGGGAGGACATACCCCAGGACACCATCTGTCATCTCATTAGCAGTATGCCCAAACATTGTCAGGCATGCACTCAAGTACATATGGGCCATACGAAATAGTAAGTACCATTTTGAGTTGTTACAATGACATTTCAGCAAAATGGACTAGCCTGCTGCATCATTTTTTCATGTGTGTGTGTGTGCAGTTATCACTCATCTTTAGAGAATATTATCCTATGTTGACAAAAAAAATAAAAATACAAGTTGTTTGATTTTCCCATCCACTCTAATAAGTCAGACAATGTATATTTAAAATAATAGGAAGGATCTTATGTACTACCAAAAAGGTGAATAAAAAATAAACTAAAAAGCAGCAAGCACAAAAAAGTGTTCCACAAATACATAAAATGAAATTAGTATATAGTGCTGCGCTATATAACTCACTGTGCAAAAAAACCTTATAATAAATACATAAAAGTGCAACAAAATTCAATATGGTAAATAAGTAAACACCCGACAGAGCCTCAGTCAAGCACTAAGATGAATACCCAATCAGGGCATCAATAAGTCAAGTAAACTCTATGCCCTATCTGACTGCAAAAGATGACCTAATAACCATAGTGTAAAATAATGCAAAAAATAAATAAAATATAATAAACAACCAGCTGACCCCCTATCATGGGCCATAGAAAGACTGCAGATAAGGCACTAAACACATGACAAAAATGTGAAATAGATGATACATGAATAAATGATAATATAAAGATTCTATACATTATAAAAACATAAATAGTGACTAAAAGGTGAATTGGCAACAATAAAGTTCATATAAAAAGTGACAGTCCATGATATCGGTGCATCCACAATGTGCAATTCCGTGAATCTTTCCCTTTGGTGTACTGTGATATCCACCACCACCTGTCATGCACGCTCACCTCCACAAGCTGACCCACATCACATAGGTCAAACTAGGCATAACTCCAATTCCTCATTCATCTGTGTGTCCTAGCTGCTGGGAACTCCACATCATCGGAAGCCACATGATATCCTCATATTCAGATATATAATAAAAGAAAGGGGCTCCTCATAGTGCAGTAAGGTTAAATTTATTAAAAATCTCAAATAATGCAAAGAGTGCACTCACATATAATATAAGGGATTTTCACCCTCAAACAGCATGGATAAAGGTAACCTTTATCAGTGCCCTGGTAAAAATTAACCTTACAAAGCAAGTAATACATTTGACACAATCATTTTGATTTTCACAAAATACAAGAAACCAAAAGGCCCAAATGATCCACACATGCTCAAGGAAATGTTAACTTTATAACATAACTTACAAATTATGATAACTGCCTGACTGTATTTCCAAAAGTGCCTTCATTAGAAAGCATAGTCCTGAACTGGTGTGATGGTTGAATTGGAGGAGGAAGAACACACACATAGTATAAAATGGTAATTGCAAATAATTTATAATGCCAAAATAGCAATATAAATCACACAGCCAACATCACAATAATATATAGATATCCATACAACAAAGATAAACAATACACTGCTACTGGCTGCTCGATGAGTATGGCCTCATACTTGGCATGTTTCACACTGTTGTTTCCTCAGAAGTTGGGTGCTACAAATATAGAAACAATAATAAAATTGCATATAGACCAATGGTATAAAGTATGTACCGTATTTTCCGGCGTATAAGACGACTGGGCGTATAAGACGACCCCCTACTTTTCCTGTTAAAATGTAGTGTTTGGGCTATACTCGCCATATAAGACTACCCCTCTTCCAATGCACACCAGTGGGAAGAATCATGCCCCATCATTGGTGTCAGTGGGAGGAATAGTGCCCCATCATTGCTATCAGTGGGAGGAATAGTGCCCCATCATTGGTATCAGTGGGATGAATAGTGCCCCATCATTGGTATCAGTGGGAGGAATAGTGCCCCATCATTGGTATTAGCGGGAGGAATAGTGCCCCATCATTTGTGTCAGTGGGAGGAATAGTGTCCCATCATTGGTATTAGCGGGAGGAATAGTGCCCCATCATTGGTGTCAGTGGGAGGAATAGTGCCCCATCATTGGTGTCAGTGGGAGGAATAGTGCCCCATCATTGGTATCAGTGGGAGGAAAAGTGCCCCATCATTGGTATCAGTGGGAGGAATAGTGCCCCATCATTGGTATCAGTGGGAGGAATAGTGCCCCATCATTGGTGTCAGTGGGAGGAATAGTGCCCCATCATTTGTATCAGTGGGAGGAATAGTGTCCCATCATTGGTATCAGTGGGAGGAATAGTGCCCCATCATTGGTATCAGTGGGAGGAATAGTGCCCCATCATTGGTATCAATAGGAGGAATAGTGCCCCATCATTGGTATCAATAGGAGGAATAGTGCCCCATTATTGGTGTCAGAGCGACGAATCGTGCCCCATCATTGGTGTCAGTGGGAGGAATAGCACCCCATCATTGGTGTCAGTGGGAGGAATAGCGCCCCATCATTGGTGTCAGTGTGGGGGGGGGGAATCGTGTCCCATCATTGGTGTCAGTGGCAGGAATAGTGCCCCATCATTAGTATCAGTGGGGGGAATAGTGCCCCATCTTTGGTGTCAGTGGGAAGAATCGTGCTCCATCATTGGTGTCAGTGGGAGGAATAGTGTCCCAGCATTGGTGTCAGTGGGAGGAATAGTGTCCCAACATTGGTGTCAGTGGGAGTAATAGTATCCCATCATTGGTGTCAGTGGGAGGAATAGTGCCCCATCATTGGTGTCAGTGGGAGGAATAGTGCCCCATCATTGGTGTCAGTGGGGGGTGGAATAGTATTCCATCATTGGTGTCAGTGGGGGAATAGTGCCCCATCGTTGGTGTCAGTGGGGGGGGGAGGAAAAGTGTCCCATCGTTGGTGTCAGTGGGAGGAATAATGCCCCATCATTGGTATCAGTGACACCAATGATGGGGCACTATTCATCCCACTGACACCAATGACACTTGCTGACCCCTGTTGCAGTATGGTGCTGCTGCAGCCAGCATATGTGGTTGCAGCAGCACCTCTGTATGGCACACTTACCGGCCGCTCCTTCACTCGATTTTCGCGGGGCCGCTCGGCTCCGCCTCCTCGCCGGTGATTGGCCGCCTGTGTGCCTTTCCTGAGCTACAGTTCTGGCAGCCAATCACCGGTGAGGAGGCGGAGCCGAGCAGCCGCGCGAACATCCAGTGGCCGAACTGAATGAAGGAGCAGCCGCGCTTCCTGGACCAGATCGTCATGGGACCGGAGCCAGGTAAGAAACAGCAGCCCCTGCCCACCCCTGTATTCAGTGTCCCTTCCGTTAGAAGGGGGGGCGGTGGCAGCACCGCGCCGCCCCCCTAAAAAGTGTCAGCATGCCGTATACCGGCGTATAAGACGACCCCCGACTTTTGAGAAGATTTTCAAGGGGTAAAAAGTCGTCTTATACGCTGGAAAATTCTGTAGTCATCAATACATAGCACACATACATGTGAGGAGACATGAAAACTCATAAAGATATATTGCTGGAAAACATTACAAGATGGAGTTAAAGACCTCAAATATCAGAAGGCGGCTTGGGTGGTCCCCACAGCTCCCCAAGCATCAGTGGGGGGCATTGGGCAAACCATAACAATGTGAGGAAAATCACCAATGCAGCAAATAAAAAAGATGGCCCATGAAGGCTCTGGGAATCAAAACACAGAGCAAGATAAATGTATACTCTGCAAAAATGAATAAATCACCACAGCTAACCATATCATTGCATGGAAGAAGGTTTCTGAATCTAAGATGTAATGCAAAGGGTAAAAAAAAAAAAAAGTCTACTCCCCTAATTTCCAAACTAGAATACCAACCAAAGACATGAAATATAGAAATATCACAAATTGAGCCCCCAAAACACAAAGGTATCATTAGCAAAAAACCCATCCCATTCTAAATTAATTACCTGTGAGCATATAATGGTGTTAATATCTTCACGCCATCTGGATAAACTGAAAATAATTCAATCGATGTATTAAAAATGGAAAATGGTACCCTCCAAAAACCACCATTCAAGCCAATCAATCAACAAAAATGGAACAAATTCTAATGGGAATGTGTCACTGAGCATGTGCCACCTCCCCACATAAGATGGTGGCTGCCGTGCATGCTCAGTGTGGTGGGGTACAGAGACATCCTCCAAAGGCATCATCAGTCATGATGCTACATTCTCAGTCTGAGGGGACATCGCAGAACACAGAACAAAATAAAATACTGCCACAACCCACACCATTAAGGGAAAAGCAGGCAATCTATCCACTGCTCCACTCTTAACTGAGATCTAAAAGGCCCCCCAAAAAACAAAAAGAAATAGGAGGAAGGCCAGAGTGGGTCAACACATTCAAACACTCATCAAAAAGGAGTGAGCCACAAGGGGTTCCAACCAGAACAAACCCACTTTGACCTCCAATGTGGTCCACAATATTGCATGCAAATGCTACTACAATAATAATGGCCAAGTAGTAGATTTAAATATATACAGTATATCATACTCCTCACATATGCACCCTTGATATTTCTCCAGGAAATCATGTATTTCTCACGAAACGTATTGCATTAACACATGTTTTGCTATACACATGTTTATTCCCTTTGTGTGTATTGGGACAAAACAAAAAAAGGGAGGAAAGAAAGCAAATTCGACATAATGTCACACAAACCTCCAAAAATGGGCTGGACAAAAGTATTGGCACCCTTTCACAACTGCGGATAAATAAGAATGTTACAAGCATGTGATGCTCCTGTAAACTCACCTGGGGCAAGTAACAGGTGTACAAATATAAAACACACCTGAAAGCAGATAAAAAGGAGAGACGTTCACTTAACCTTTGCATTGTGTGTCTGTCTGTGCCACACTAAGCATGGACAACAGAAAGAGGAGACGAGAACTGTCTGAGGACCTGAGAACCAAAATTGTGGCAAAATATCAACAATCTCAAGGTTACAAGTCCATCTCCAGAAACTAGATTTGCCTTTGTCCACAGTGCGCAACATTATCAAGAAGTTTGCAACCCATGGCACTGTTTAGCTAATCTCCCTGGTCGTGGACGGATGAGGAAAATTGATGAAAGATTGCAACGCAGAATAGTCCGGATGGTGGATAAGCAGCCCCAAACATGTTCCAAAGACATTCAAGCTGTCCTGCAGGCAGGGAGCATCAGTGTCAGCGCGAACTATCCGTCGACATTTAAATGAAATGAAACGCTATGGCAGGAGACCCAGGAGGACCCCACTGCTGACACAGAGACATAAAAAAGCAAGACTACAGTTTGCCAAAATGTACTTGAGTAAGCCAAAAGCCTTCTGGGAAAACGTCTTGTGGACAGATGAGACCAAGATAGAGCTTTTCGGTAAAGCACATCATTCTACTGTTTACCGAAAACGAATGAGGCCTACAAAGAACAAAACACAGTACCTACCAAAAATATGGTGGAGGTTCAATGATGTTTTGGGGTTGTTTTGCTGCCTCTGGCACTGGTGCCTTGACTGTGTGCAAGGCATCATGAAATCTGAGGATTACCCAAAGGATTTTGGGTCGCACTGTAGGGCCCAGGCCCAGTGTCAGAAAGCTGGGTTTGCGTCCAAGATCCTGGGTCTTCCAGCAGGACAATGACCCCAAACATACGTCAAAAAGCACTCAGAAATGGATGGGCAAAGAAGCGCTGGAGAGTTCTGAAGTGGCCAGCAATGAGCCCAGATCTAAATCCCATTGAACACCTGTGGAGAGATCTTAAAATTGCTGTTGGGAAAAGGTGTCCTTCCAATAAGAGAGACCTGGAGCTGTTTGCAAAGGAAGAGTGGTCCAAAATTCCGGGTGAGAGGTGTCAGAAGCTTATTGATGGTTATAGGAAGCGACTGATTTCAGTTATGTTTTCCAAAGGGTGTGCAACCAAATATTAAGTTAAGGGTGCCAATACTTTTGTCCAGCCATTTTTGGGGTTTTGTGTGACATTATGTCATATTTGCTTTTTCTGCCTCTGTTTTATATTTGTTCCAATACATACAAAGGGAATAAACATGTGTATAGCAAAACATGTGTTAATGCAATACCTTTTTTGTGTGAAATACTTGATTTTCAGGAAAAATATCAAGGTGCCAACAATTTCGGCCATGACTGTATGTGCACAATCAGATGCCACCTGCAAATTGCATTAAATAATTAATAACTCAAACCATACATAAAGTAATATACAACAACACATGTATGGTACTGTATATAAACAATACAACTACAAAACACAAAATAAGATACAAAATTTAAAATAAGCATAATGCAATCATTGTAAATTTATGACTTAACTATGTAGAAATGGCACAACATCCTGTGGTAAGAGATCACCTTGTAAGCTAAGATGTAATAGTAGCTGTTTAACATGATTGATCTCATTCAGGCCTGGGGCTTTGGTTGCATGCAGAAGCTGAATCTAATAAATTTCCAGTTGAGGCTCCATGCACACTATGAGCTTAAAAAAGACATAAAAACACTGGATAAAAACTGCTCACTATTAATGTATTTTGCTGGTGATTTGCCAGTGTTTAGCAGTAAATAGCAGGGATTCCCCGCTGACAGGGAACCCCACACCAAAATTTAAAAAAAAAACAGCGTGGGTTCCCCCCCCAAATCCATACCATACCCTTATCTGAGCATGCAGCCCAGGAAAGGGGGGATGAGTGAGTGCCCCCCTTCTGGACCACACCAGGCCACATGCCCTCAACATGGGGGGGGGGTGCTGTGGGGCTTGCATCTTGTTTCCTTGTTAGTGGGCACATTCCCACCACCCTGGGCAGTGGTTGTGGGGGCTTGCAGGTGGGCCCAATTAGTGTTCATGTCCTCCCATGTGAATGAGTACCCGACTCATTCACAGAAAAAGAGTAGTGTAAATAAAGACAGCATCCAGTTTCTTACAAATCCATAATTTAAAAAATAAAAATAAAATGTCCCCCACTGTAGAGGTCCGCACCCGATGCTGGCTCCCACCAACTGATAGCCCAGCTTCATAGCTGCTGCTAAGTAAACAAAGGGGGCAGGGCCACTTGGTGATGCCATTGGGTAACCCTCCACCTTGTAACATCATTGACAGATCATGCTGGGTCAGTGACATCATAAGTGGGCAGGGTTACCCTGTGACATCATTGGGTGGCCCCACCCCCTTAGTTTATTTATCAGCAGCTAAATAAAGAAGCTCTTGTCCCCATTGGCATGGGGACAAGGTGCTCTTGGGGGAGCCCTCCAGCCTATGTTGAGAGCATGTGGCCTAGTATGGTTCAGGAGGATGTAGAATATAATTAATTTAGCTTATAACAGACATCTGTATTCTTTAATATTTTGACTCTCCAAAGTTACATTGAAACTCAGCATTAGCTAGCTTAAAATTAACCGTGCGTGTGAATGGCTCTGTAACCAGGTGTTGGAGTGTACCATAGTATTTCATGGCTAAGAGGTCAGTCGGTCATACGCTTCCCTTCTTAAAATATATCACTTTGAATGCAGTAAAGAGCTAAGAAAGAGCTAAGTAATATGTCTTTTATAAAGAAAACAATTTGTAATCTATGATATAGTTAGTTAGATAGTTATTTCATATAGTTATTTAACTAATTAGTTAGGAATAGTGTGTGATAGTATATTCTCAATTATTGTTGATTATGTTTATGCATTTATGTGTTCACTGTCCTTGAATTGAAGGTTGAACTTGTTTTAAAAAGAATGAAGTTGTGTGATGGGAAGATCGCATAACAGTCTA